TTAAAAAGTTAAAATTAAATCTGAAGAAAGATGGCGTAAGATAATAGAAATTAAATCAACGATGAATTAATAACCAAGCTCGAAAGAAAAGAAAAATACTGCAATCAATATTACTGATTGACGTTAATTGTTTGTAAAAAATGTTCATTCGCAGTAATAAGTTTCAGTTGATGAAACTTTCCGAGATTGCGCGAGAGTAACATATTTTCCAAAAGTTCGCTGACGTATATATCTTTTCTTGGCGAAACTGAAAGAGGAAATGTTTCGCGAAACTTTTCGCGCTTTCCTGTCAATACTTCACGATTACACGAAGAAATGCGGTTTCTTTTTGCGCGTTCATCGGAGCACGTGGCAGTACGACGATTATCACGTAAGTCGTTTATTTTTATTTAAAGCACCTGCGCCAGGTGTGTTTATCGTAACGATCTCTTTCCTCGTCGGACTATCTTTTCGCGCTGTTATTCTTATTACCGCAAGAAAACATTTTGCCGGAGATTTTACGAATGGCTCGATTCGTTCGCCGGGAAAATGAGGCTTGACTTAAGATTTATCGTACGCATATTTTCCTTATGAGAGACATGAACTTCGCGCTATTTCCGCGAGAGACAGAAAAATTGCTCCATGCTTGTTGATGCTAAATGTTCTATGATAATTTATAAAAATATAACAATTATCATATCGTTATTGTTGGATGTGCACCATATATTTGTTTTGTAATTCTTGTATATGTCCTACATGCGATATAAATATGTGAAACTATATTCTTGGCATAGTAATTGAATGGCAAATTTGTGTTGTCTTTTCCCATAATTTTTATATAATTTTTTTATCTGTAATAATTTATAAGTATTATATTTTATAAATACATTTCGTATGAAAAAAAATATATGATATTGATTAGGCGATACTATATTTCTAATGCGACGTGAATACAAATTTTCCTTATTCTAATTATACGTTTCTTATATAATTTATCAAGCGCACGTAAGATCAAATTTATATTTCCTTTTTTTTTTTAAACGCTTTTTCTATTACTTTTCCTTTTCAAAGAGCATTTGTTTCGTTTTGCTGAAGGCATAAAAAAAAGTATAATTAAAAAAAAAGCTGTAGCCGCGTTCGCACGCTTTGTAGAGGGAATGCAACGTGGTAAAAATTTATTGTCGAAAATATCATAAGTCACACATGAATATCCAAACATATACACTTACACACATACACATACACATATGTACTCTCGTATTTTTCTAACGATGATGTTTCTTTTTCGTTTTTCAGAGCGAAGCATAAGCGCCGAGGCGGATGCATTTCCCGTGCGAGTTATATCTTTACTGCAGTTACCGACCAAAAAACCAAAATAGAGATAGAAAATAAAAGTTACCATGATCAAGCACTATGTCCTCGTTTATGCCCATTTTAATAATAACGTTATTAATCCAAGAGAGCAAGGAGCGTATAATTTAACACGGAAAATAAACGAACTCGCGAGTAAAAAGGAAACTCGTATATCCCGTTCCCTTAATTTATTCGGGACTTTTCCCTTTTGCCACTATCATGAGCTTAATAATTAATATGCATATTAATTAATATGATTGACGATCGACGTTTCTTCGATTTTTCACATGGCGTGTTTTACTTCTTGCATTCTTATACGACTTACTAAAATCGAATATGATTTCAAACGACGACGATTTTGCAGTTTCTTTCTCGGCTCCTTGCCATTCTTGATGTATTTAAATTTCACGATCGTTATAAAATTGTATCACTAACTTTGTTACATTTTATCAAAAATATAGAAATATACTGAACGCACACGTATGATATAAAAAAAAAAAATGTTAATATAAAATATCGCCGGATATTGTCCGAATTATTCTTGCAGCTTCTTTCTCATCCTCGGAAGATTCCACTTTTTGATATCACCACCTCATCAACTAGTGTCAACAACGAAAATTTAAATAATTCTTTTACAATATACAAACCAAACTGAATCGTTTGGAATAAGACTGTTTATTAAATATTTTCGGTTGAAATTTACGAATTTTAAATTGGTTTATACAAAGTATCAGTGAGTCGACGGTTTGATTATTGCATTTTACCATTTTACTACATTTTTTTTCATGGGGAATAGATTATTAAAATAATATGGATGTTCCGTAATGCAACAATGGTACTCGATGCGAATCCGTCGTTTATTAGCAACGTACTCGCGAACTGCATAAGTTGGATGAGAATCTCGTGTGATAGAATAAATCAAATTCCATAGGTAAGTCTTTACATCTCTTTTCGGTAGGTTGCTCGCGTACAAAAAGACGTTATTATCATAGAATTATCATTTAAGCGTTACCTCACGTATCGATGGCAAGAACTTGTCGTCGAGTCGCCCTGAGAAGTTAATCGATTTCCAGACAAATCCCCAGGCAAGCACGGCAAGTTTCGCTTTGCGATTTAATCGCCTTTGCGTAATAACTTTTATCCACATTTTCGTCGCTTTGTTCGCTTTGATCAGAGAACGAGTCGAATAATTCCTTTGCGATTCGAGCGGATTAATCGTCACTTGATACGCCGATCGAATTACCCGAGTGGCTCGAATGAAACGAATCGAGCGACGAATAGGCAGCGTTACGCAATGATTAAATTTACACTGAAAATATAAGATCCGCTTCTCTATTAATCACGAGTGATAGTAATAATGTATAATGCATATATTATAATAATTTATAAGAATATAAATGCCGAGACATATTTCAACTTCTTTAGTTTAATTTTTATCTTTTATAATAAGTTACGCTGATGTCAAAATATTAATTATTCGTACCTTTAGCATTTTATCAATAAAGAAAAATTGCGAAGTAAGAAGATATGAAAGGAACATAAAATTAACATTTTACAATGCCTATAATAATTTTAGGCTTATCAGATTTGCATGTGGCTTTCACGTAGAATTTTATAGCAATATTTCATGATTATTTTATGAATTTTATTAGTATTATGGTTACACCATCACGTTATTGTTTATTAATTATTTGTGCAATCAGTTTCCCCGTAAATACTTTCGCTGAGAGAGAGTTTTATTCACTGAAAAGCTCTCATAATGTAGGATTATCTATTTCTCAGCTCGCTCAATTATCTAATTGCATTCAGTGATGCTTTGGAATCTAATTTAGTTAATGGCGTGCACAAATAAATGCACACCTTCGGCAAATTGTATTTTACCACTTCAACTAGACTTTTCTCTAATGCATCGCGACGTAATTACGAATGCTCGCGGCAGTACCGAAGTATCAGTATCTTGTTTCCTAGTACCGAGCTGATATTAACATCCGTACATCATCTTCGATATTAATTGGACATACGATTGAATCTAATCGTTCCTTTTTTATTGGAGAAAAATCAACGTTAATCACGACGACGACGACGACGACGACGACGACGCATTATATTATCGGCGCTCGCGGATTTTTCTAGACAATCCTGTTTGTACGGAACTATTAGCCTAACTGGATTACGGCAACAAAGAGATTACGAAGCAAACGTATTGTTAACGCGTATATGCCGCGTCGATTTTATTATACGGAAGTTATATAAAAATATTTTTCCTTTGAAAAGGTGATTTTCCTCGAGATTTATGCGAGCGTGCTTATAAATATATACACAGAAATCCACTTGATTCTCGTCGCAGTGATCTGATCATATGCGTCATGTTATTTGCATTTACATACATATTTACGTTTTCAAAATGGTCTATAACGTAATTTAAATCTGAATATG